GATATATTTAGGATTTTTTAAAGATTTATAGGATGTACTTAAGATAACTGGAAGTCTATTAAAGTTTTTCAAGATTGTAAAAAATATGTTTTCAAACACCTTAAGTATTGTTTTGGATTGTAACTTCAACTTTGAAGTAAAATCAAACCCTTCCAAATTAAGATGCCTAATACGTTTCCAAGCTGATTTTCACATAATACAACATGATAAAATTAAATTTTATTTGTTGCAAGAAAATTGCATTATTATTATTATTATGATATAATTTATAAAGAATACATATAATTTGTGCAATATTGATGTATGTTGTTCAAAAATAGATAAAAACTTTGACAAGGTAGAACTTAAAAATGATATTATAATAAATCTAGTTTTTGTTTAGGAGGTTGAATAGCCTTAAAGCTGAATTTCAACTAATAATTCTACTTGGTCAATAGATTTTTGAAACTTTGATCTTGTACCATCAAATTTTTTAAGTCAAGCACTTCTTGGTGGATGCTCTATCACATAAAAATTTACTTGTATATGTATAGATGTTAAAGTAGCTCTAAATTTTTTTATATCTTCATATCCAACTAAACTTGATGTTGTTTGTTATGATAAAGTAAATTGATGCATTGCAATTACTAACACTTTAAGTTTTTCTTATGTTTATGCTATAACATCCTTTGCAAAATTTGCTATAAGTATACAATAGAAAAATGAAATATATTATATTACTTATAATAAGGAGTATAGAAGAATTAATAATAAGAAAATAATTCTAAGAACAATATCAAAATAGTTGTAGATAATTCAAAATCTCTATAAAGCATGTATATTTTTAAAGAAGAGAAATAATCCACTTTAAATTAAGAAAGATAAAACTCCAATATTATAAATATGTACTTCTTAATATGTCAAAAAAAACTCAAAAAATGAAAATAAATAACTTAGATGTATATTTAAGATATGTTGCAAAGAAAGAGAGAATGTGTTTACTACCATCCTATCTTTTATCTATGTCTTTTAAAAATATAATTTATATTTTATTCTTTCACCTTATAGATATGTTACAACACACCAATGCTACATGCAAATGCTTTAATGGCCACCTCACATGTATTCAACTTACAAGATACATGTCTGACTTATAGGGCAAGTTTTTAACATATCTACCATGTAGCCAATAAGTAATACAAGTTGCCAAAGTTTGCAACATGTGGCTAACTTGTTGGTCAAGTTTTCAACCTATTAATTACCTACAAATATGCATAAAGAAATCTAAAAAGCTTTTTAAAAAGACATCAAAATTTTAACCTACTTTTATTTCTATCTAATTCTATTTAGTCTTACATATCAAAATAAATGTAGTAATACTTATAAATGCCTATAATTAAAAGTTATGTATATATTTTCTTAATATTATAAAGTTAACAAAGAATTAAATTTTTTTTAAAGTGGCCTTTATGATAGCTTTATAATTTAAATAAATATAAAAAATAAAATAATTAATATATAAATTATCATATAGTCTATTTAAGAATATTTTTTAATTTAATATATCTTCAAATGACTTTTATAACATTTTATAAAGTAATTTTTTTAGAAAAAACATATTTATCTATTTATTTTTATTTTTATTATTATGAGAATATAGATGTATATGATAAATATTCTATAAAGCTATGCATGTTTTAAATTTAAATAAATAGCAGTTACACAAAAAACAATCACGTAACATAAAAAATTATAAAATATAAAATAAATAAATAAGTATTAAAATTAATATACTTTTATCAAGAAGTAATTTTTAAAAATAAGACAAATCATTTTTTATGTAACATCAAATTAGTCTTAGAATGAAAATATTATTATTAACAATAAACATCATGTTCTTTGTATGAAGAAGAGGCATTTATAACAACAAAAGCTAAATGTTTAATTAAAATAAATAATCATAATAAAAAATAGATTTAAAAATTATTTTCAAAAATTAAAAATTATGTATGCTAACAAACGTTTTTTTTTATAAACAAGAAGAAATTATAGACCATATTACATATAAAATAGACAGAAATAAGTAAAACAATAAAGTAAATTTTTATGTATTATTAGCAAAAATAATTGGACGAATCAATTTGGCCAAAAATACTTTAATACTAATTTTAAATAAAAAAATAAAAATCTAAGGTAGAAGATACTTTAAGAAATTTTCAACAATGATATATTTTTACTATATTTACAACACTTTTCATGTATTTAAAGATGATAAGAAGATAGGAATGAACTAAATATTTTATTTATAAACTATTTATATTCTAAATGTATCATATATATATATATATATATATATATATATATATATGATGATACTATTGTTTTAAAAATATTAAAACTATTAAAAATAGTAATAATAATTTATAATCTTTTTTAAAATTTAAAAAATTAAATTATGCTTTAAATGAAAAAAATTAATATAATTATCATTAAGATTATATTATTTAACTAAATCTTTAAATATAAAAATTTCGTTTATTTCTATTATTAAATCATATTTTTTCTTACAAAGTTTAAAAATATATTTAAACAAGATATTAACTATTTTTCATTCATTATATGTATACATATAATTAACTCATCTTTTTGATAATTATAGTAATTTTTAAAGATGAAGAGAATAATTTTTTAAAAATTTAATTTAAATGTATAAAAATATAAAAATAATACCTAATATTCTATTATTTAATAAGATAATTTAACATTATATAATATAATGAATAATTATAAAAAATTAAAAATAATTCAAGAAAATTGATGTAAATAATAAGAAACTGATCATAAGTATAAATTTAGATTTTTAAATTTGAAATATCTAGTATTATAGTACATTCTAAAATAGTAATGCTCTTTGAAAGTTTGTTAATCATAAAATCAAATTAGAACAAGTTTAGTTTATTTTTTTAATTTAATTTGATAAATATAAATATTTATATGTATATATATATATATATATATATAAGTTATTATACATAACTAAAATAAAATGATATTAGTCACATATTATTAATAATAGTCATAAGTTATTAATATAATTTAGATATTATGGCACTAATTGCATATAAATATATTAAAAGTAATATATTATAGCATAAAATATCAAGCATACAAAGATAAAAGAATCTTAATATATCTATTTTATTTTTTATGTTAAAATTGTAGTAATTGTCACATTAATAGTTTGAACAATAATGATATTGTAAGAATAAATATTATCCCATTAATTTTTTGTTGATGACTTTATTGAAATTATATTTTTTTAGAAGAATGATCTTTCTTAAATTCTATTCTTTTAATATGATAATATTAAACAAAGTTTGAAACATGAAAAATGTATATATATATATATATATATATATATAATTTAAAAGAATTATTCTTCTAAAAGATGTTAATTACCCGAATGTTAAAAAATTAATTTTTTAACCCGAATTAGAAGATGGGCTCAATTAAAAGTTGCTTTTAATTAGTGGTATAGAGTGAAAGATACAATTAATAAGAAATAATGATGAACAAGTACAAAAAAAAGTGAAAATAGCATAATCAAACAATTATACACATAAAAAACTATTCATATTTTAGTCACTAAATTTTTAATAGGAATTTCTTTATTATCTAATGACATAAAAATATATAAATCTAATTTATTGTGAATAAATTATGAAGGTTTTAAAATAAAGAGAAATTTTTTTAAAAAATTTTAAAATATTCTATCTTAAGAATAACTTGCTTCAGTGGTCAAGGATTCAAGCCTTACTAAGGCTTACAAGTAGTATATATGTCCTATAGAGGCCACAAAGCCTTAATCTTATACTCCTACCTACATCCAAGGTGCTACAACCCATATGAGACATGTATACCTCCATTTTGACAACTATTACACTAATTGTTGGTTCTCCTATTCTTCACTAGTGAAATCTTCTTTTTGTCATTTTTTACTACATCATGGTATTCAAAAACATCCAATTAGCATATAAACCTTGTGAGGCCTTCAAATCTTGCTCAAATTATAAATGGCCTCTCAAGATAATGAATTATTTTTATCAATGTCTTAAAAATATATTCCACAAATTTCTAATAAAATCTAAATTAATTTTAAATAAACTTTAGTAATCTCTATAATTTTCATATTATCATAATATTAATTTTTAAAATTTTAAATTAAAATTTTTTGGGTATTTTTTAAATTAATAGAATCAATTCAAATCAACTAAAAATCTAAATTTTTTTACATAAATAATTAAGAAGACATGATGTTCTTTTTCAGACTTCTTTTGCCTAAAACCAATAAAAATAAGAATAAACACTAAACCAAGTAAGATAATTGGCTCCAAGACTTACTAAATCTCCATTTCTATGACTTTTTCTTTAATATGACTCTTGTAACTCATAAATCCTTCTAAATTCTAATAAATACTTAACTATTTTAATTGAATCTTTAATTTTAAAATTTTATATCTAAATAACTTAAATCCTAATTTTAACAATTCCACCAATTAAGATGCATTGGTAGGACTTACATTCTATTTAATAATAAAATCCACATTAATAAACTTGAAATTCTATGTAAATCAAGTAAGGATTTTCACTTAATTATAAATAACTTGTTAATTTTAATATGTTTAAAACTTAAGGAAAAAAAATCACTCTCTCCTGGATTAAAACTAAGTTACACTCTATGGTTCTTAACATCTACTGCCCCCTTCACACAAATTGTTGGTTTCATCCATTATCATCAGTAGAGAAGTGGTAACTATTGTGATTAGAATGTGGTGGAATTAAACCAGCATTACAGCTCTTAAAAGGCCATGGAAGCTTCAGAATGCGACAGAATGCACACAACTCTGAATCTACGGCCGTAGGGACTCATTGGCACAAAAGCGTGTGGGCGGCGCCGCAGCCAAATGAGCAACACGAAGACACCAAAGAAGAAACGGATTTCTGCACCCATGTGGGTTTTTGCTACCTTTTCCGTAGTTGCTTGAGAGATGGTGTTAAGAATATTGTTGTCATGGTCATGTTGGATACTGAGTGAAGCCATGTTGAATATCAATGGCTTCGTGCGACAATTTTGTTTTTCATGCACGATTTCAGCAGCTGCCATGTTCAGGATATGGTGCGAATTGCTGGAGTTTTTGGGTCATGTGCACAACTACTTGAATAGCAAAGCTTTCCAGCCATATTTCTAATTTATGTCGTTCTTTCGACAAGCAGTAAGCTACAGCAGAAGTTTTTGATTGATAAACGGCCGCCTGGATGCCAAGCGTAGGGGGGCCAAAGTTGTTTGCAACGGCTTGGGAAGTGATGCATGAGAGGCTGACGCGACTCGTCTCTGTTCTGAGGCTTTGGAGATGCTCGGAGGTGGTGTTGTTACCCTCATCTCTGGAGAGGGCAGGGGATGGCCATATAGAGGACATCTTAATTTGGGATTCTGGACTTCAGGTTCATCACATGTGTGGGGAGAGTGTTTCTCGGGTTGAAGCATTCACATACTGCCCCACTCGAAGAGTAATGCGAATTGCTTCATCATATTCTTCTTCGATGACCAGATTGTTGACGCCTTTGGGGTGCCAGTAATGTCGGTCCTGACGAGTAGGTTTGGTCGTTAGTTTTTCTTTTTGACGTAATGGCGCGAATTGTTGCCCATCCGTACTGAAAACAGCGACACATGGTGATCCCCCCATCTTCTAAATGAGTTAATTTCCAGCAGCTGGGGATGCAATTTGTCTTCATCAAGTTTCTCTCAATGTTTTTCAAGGTAACACGATGAATCAAGAATTAGGGTTTAGAGACAGGGGGTGAAGACCATCTGGCCAGATAGTTATGAGCTGCGTGGTCCGAGAGATGAGTGTCAGGGTCTTTTGTCCACGCGTAGCAAAACAAAGCATGTGCAATATCATGATTTTAACACGTGGCAGTTTACAAGGCCATTGCCACTTGTCTTGTATGTGGTGAATGCATGCTTGTCTAAACCATGGCCGCCTGTTGCATTGCTATCCAGGGTCCATTGCTATCTCCACAAGCTGGTCTTGACTTCAGATGATCTGGACCCAGTGGTATCACCTATTTGTACTCCTCTTGCATCTTTTCCACAACAGTTCCAGGTAATTGCGAATTCAGCCAGTCAAGATCAGGCCTTAGAATATTGGAGCTATCGAGAGTTGGAGAGTTGGTAGTGGGAAAGGATCTACAAGGACCCAGGCTATGTCGCTGGCAGCACGCCAATTTGGTGGATCTAAGTTGGTATTGAACCAACCGCAGAGGTGTTCACCAGCGTTGTTATCATTGTTGACAGGGAGCTCAAAGTTGCCGTTTGGAGTTGGTGAGGCAACACGAGCGGGGCATATAGAGCGTAAGGGGAACGTTACCCGTACCTTTGCAACAATGGAGAAGCAGCGTGAGCCTCAGGTACAGGACACGCACCCAGGAAAAGAGTTTGAGATGGATCCCCTTCCTAACCACATGCGGCCGGTATACAAGCCTGCTGGAAAGCTTGAGGTACGTAGGTTTCACCTCAGTTTTTCTATCGAACTCTTATGTAGTCAGCACGGAAAGAATCGTACATGCTTGGTTATTTCTTGCCGCCATATGGGACAGAATGCATTGATTAGCTAGGACTGGCGTATTGATATTCCCTCACAGAATATTTTATCCGACTTGGCGCTTGATTAAGTCCCCTGTTTGGGAAGTCGTGATTAATAGTTACTTCTAATTGTGAAGATCATGAGTATCAGTTTTGCGGTATGGAAAAAGGAATTGCGATATGTGTAGGTTCATTTGCTTTGGATTTGACCCTGGTCAGCAGGTAAAGTTAATGGATGGTTATGGTGACTGCAGGGTAAAGTCGCCTTGGTTACTGGAGGAGACTCTGGTATTGGGCGGTCTGTGGGGCATCACTTTGCTATGGAAGGAGCTACTGTGGCATTTACGTATCTGCCAGGACCTGAGGATAAGGACGCTGATGAGACCATTGACATTCTTAAGAAGTCCCAGGGTCCGAATGGCAAAGACCCTCTTAAGATTCCAGTAGATCTGAGATATGACGAGAACTGCAAGAAGGTATAAAGATTTAATTCTCTTATTATCAATGAAGCTGGGGTCTCAGTACGTATGTGTTGAAATTCCAACTATTCTAGGCTGTATAACGTGTTTTCAAAGTATTCATCATTGTTAAAAATGTAACTTTGATGGAATCTATTAGCTTGGGAACTGTAGGTAATCGATGAAGTGGTGAAGAAATATGGACGTATCGATATCCTGGTAAATAATGCTGGAGAGCAGCACACTGTTCAGAATATTGAAGATTTGGAACCGGAGCAGATTGAGCGGACATTCAGATCAAATATTTTTTCTATGTTCTACTTGGTCCGGTATGGTGATCCATCAATCTAGTCTTTTACAAGAGTAATCTTGCAGACATCTCTATGGCTAGAAGTAAATTCTATTTGTCTCATCGCCAGCAATATGTTGATGGTCTCTAACGTACGATTTCAGTCGTGTCCTTTGGAGGGCAGAGTAAAATCGAACGATTGTTCCTTTTGTCTTTGTGATTTGTATTTTACTTACTACTCGAGTGTTGTGTAATCTTGTGGAATCTAAAATGTTTTATGAATTTTTATCTTTGAAACAGACACGTACTCCCGCACATGAAAGAAGGGAGTGCTATTATTAATTCCACTTCGGTGAATGCTTTCAAGGGTAATGCAACCCTCTTGGATTACACTGCTACCAAAGGAGCTATTACAGCTTTCACTAGGGGGTTAGCCCTGCAACTTGTGAAGCGCGGAATTCGTGTTAATTGTAAGTCTCATCTGCAGAACGACTTTTGTATCACCACATTTAAATACTATGTACTCTGTTTGCAGTGCTTTTCTTTTGTCGTTGTCGATCAGTACCAGCATAAAAGTCATCATCCTATTGTTCTGATAAATGATAATCTGCAAGTGTCAAGGAATGTTTTTGGAGTAACACTTGTAATAAAGCCTTTGCTCTTCTCAAGTTTTAAGATATATCAGCCGTTTGTTAACCCTTGTGTACTAATCCATGTAAAATTTGCTTAAACTACAGCTGTGGCGCCAGGACCGGTTTGGACTCCTCTTATCCCATCATCATTTCCAGCTGAAAAAACAGAGAAATTTGGAAGCCAGGTCCCCATGGGCCGTGCGGGAGAGCCAGCTGAAATTGCCACTTCTTATGTGTTCCTTGCATCTGAAGACTCATCTTATTTCACTGGCCAGACGTTACATCCAAATGGTACGAGTTCTTGTACTTTTAAAAAGATACCTTGGCACAAACTTTTAATTTGGATGATTTAGTTTCTTTTTGCATTGAAATCTGTCTGAAGTTCTATACTAAAGGTAATGAGATAATTATTTGCAGGTGGTTACATTGTGAATGCGTAAGGAAAAAGGCTGGCATTTTGTGACTCGAACTGCCCGAGTGTACCATTTTCTTTCTGCTTTGGCCAATGTTGGTTCCGCGTTTTGTCAGACACCCAGTAAATATATTGTATAATGTGGTTCCCCACTGTAGCAATTGAATGTAGTTCTATGTGTCTAGAGATGTAAGTGCAAGCATATCAGCAAAATGTTCCTACCAGTTTTCTCTGGAATCTTAACTCGAGAGGAAATTAGCAGTTTTAGGATTAGAGTTGTGCTTTTTACTGTAACTTCGGAAGTGAATGTTATAACAATTGAGCAAAATGCTGAATATGTACTTGGGCAATATGTTGCAGTGTGTGTTTCAGTCGCAACGAGCTGTGATCATCCCTGACAAATTCTCTTTGTAACACTAAGAAACCTTCACATCCACAAAATAGTGATGTGAGAGTTTCTAGTATGGTTGAGAGGAGTTGCTGTTCTTTTGTGACTCCTCCTCATTTTGGTAACCAAGCCATAAAAAGGAACTTGTGATTGTAGTTCTACATAATGTACCATAGTATACAAGTTGAGGGTTGATTTTGAGTAGCACGGATATTCATTCAAAGACAGATATGGCATCTTATAATAATTTAATGAATAAGAACAACTTGGTTTTTTGAATGTCAAATTTTAGACATTTGTATCAGTATAAAAAGATAAACCAATAAACGACACATTTTTCTAAACCATATCTCTAATAAAAAAAAAATAAACCTGTTCTAGAAATATTGTTAATAAAATTACCATGTTTACTTCTAGCAACTTCTCCAATTAAATTCAATAACATTTTTCTGTGTCTGTAAACATTATACAAAATATGTATGTATATAAAAATGATATAAAAAATACTTATTTGTATATACATATATAATACTATATCCTATTCATCATCATATATATTTTTGCCAAAAAATTCCCTATATTATGCCACTGTAGCACAAGAGCTACCAAATAGTGTACATTTATATAATATCTACTCTTACACCAACATGCGAATTTTTCATATTATTCTTTAAGTGTGTTTAAAGTCAATGTTAAAATTTAAATGATAAAATAATATATTGATATACATAGTTTTAATTGAGTTTTAACTTTTGTTTTTGAAGTATTGAAAACCTGTCTGTATAATGGTTTATAAAAACATTACTAATATAAAAAGAGAAACCAATAAAGAAAGCTATAATAAGATACATTAATTACATAAACATAACAAAGTAGAGTGGTTTTAATTGATTATTCAAAAAATGTGCCTATATTTTATTATAATCTTAATTAACTACTAAAAAAGATCCAAAATAAATTTATAAGTAATCAAACAATATGTAATTTAATATCCATTAAGTCAACTAATAGTTAACACCACCATTATAACTTAAGCAACATTTTACAAAAGTATATATATTTTTATTATAAAACATGATCTTAATAATTTCTCCATTTTTGTGATGATTTTGAAACGTAAATCATTTTTATTTTATTTTTAAAAATACAAGTTATTATATCTTAAAATTTTATTTAAATTTGTAACCAATTTAATTTATAGCTTTTAAACACTTTTTAGGTACAAACAAATCATAATAGTTTCTTTAATAAACTATATATATATATATATATATATATATAAAATTTAAAAGATATAATCAATCATTTATGTTAATAATTACCAAATTTATTTCAAGTACACAACTATTAAAAGTTTAGTTCTTTATATGAATGATCCACTTTTTTAAATTATAAATATATAAACTCAAATTGAGATAGAAAAATCCTAATTAGACCATTCAATGACAATAATATTTTGGATTTAAAATTTTATCTAAATAGACAAACATCTGAAAATTTACTGTGATCAAGGGTGATGATGATTTCAATATTAAACAAAGACTAATAATACACACACACACACACACATATATATATATATATATACACACTTATACATGTGTTTGTATGTGGTCGTGCATTTAATAATTTAAAATCAATATTCATTTGTTTCAAAAATTTGATCATTGGAATTCAAATGATAAATTACATGGACAACAATTTCATAAATATTAGATTTTTGTTTTAAATTTATATTTTTTATTTGAATTATTTTATCACATATAAAGTAATTTGATTGAAACTTTCTTTAGTTTATTAAAATTCAGAAATCATTGAAAAATAAAACTACACATTTATACTTATTAGAACAGCGTTATTAATTATTTCTAATTATTCTTGTAATTGGTTCTTTAAACTAAAAAAACATAATTTTTTTCATACAGGGTTACCTAATTAATGAAATTTCAATGTGTATGAGTTTTATGTTACCTAAAGAAATGAAATTTTGAAATGTGTATGAGTTTTAATACAAATTACGTAATTACGTTAAAATACTTGCTTAAACTTTTTAAATTTTTTATACTTATATTTATAGAAGAAAATAATCTTATTCACTTTTGTTTAAAAATTTAAGTAAATAACATGATTCATTTTGATATTTTGAAAATTATTTTAAAAAATAATTAATTGTACATGAAGTATGGTAGATGCACATACAAATTCAAAACTATATTATCATATCCAAGATGATTACACTGCTTAGAAAGTTATATTTCATTCATCTAAGTTTAACCTTTTGACAGGGTTCTTGAAAATAGCTCAATCAAAATTTTTGCTAGTTTTATTAAAAGATTTACAATTAATTTCAACAAAAAACAATGTACGATAGATCTACTTCATAAAATTAATGAATTCTCATTGAGAAATATACTTGTACCATGAACATTGTTCCCAATATATAAGCAGCTACTCTAGCTATTGATTTGAAACAAGAAAAAGTAATGAAAATATTAATAAAGTTTTTTACATTTTTTTACTATATTTCTGTTTAGTGTACAAGTGGTTTGAATTGAATAAATACTTAATGAACAAAGGTTGTTTCAGCTAATTCTTTTACTGAAAATATTGTCTAAAACATCTTTGAAATTAATGAAATTATCTCTAAAAAATATAAAAATAAGAAACAAAGAAAGAGAAAGAAATTAAGCAAAATTTTAGGACTGTGTAATCTCTTTAAAGAAAGAATCAATGATATGCTTATTTTTATTCATTTATTGTCTATCTAGTTTCCTTAGACAAACAATGTGGTGTCTCTCTATATGTATGGTATTGTTAATACCACCACAATTTTTGCTACTGTCATTATCACCCAATCAACATTTTTTTTTTTATAGTTTTTTTTCTTATTTCAATCAAAAAAATTATTAACATTTCAATTTTTTTAAAATTAGTTTATACATATATAGTAATTCAAATTTTTTCAAACAATGCTTAAATTAACACAATACAAATTTCAAAAGTTTGTTTAATGCATTCTTTTTGCTGTGGTGGATAGTATAATACACATTAGGCATTACATAGTCTAATTCATTAAAAATAAGAAATAGATCCATACAACTTATAAATAAAATAAAAAAATTAGAATTTTTAATATATTCTAATAATAAACTTATGCTCTTTGGAATTCATAAATTTTAGTTATTTATTGCACTTTTTACAGTCAACAATGTCTGACTCATTGAATGACTGCTAAAACATGATGATTTTTGACTAAAATGGACAAAAAATCTAATTAGGACAGTGGTTTTGGTTAAGACAGTGGCTAGACTTTTGGAGGTAGTGAGGGCTTTCAGCCCACTCTCTTTTCATTCTCTTATGTATTGTTGTTTGAGAGTAGTAGGAGGATGTTGGAGGTTAGAAGTAAGGCCAAGGGATCTGAAAGAAAGACTTATGGGACCAATTTAAAGCCAGTGTACCCATGTTCATAAGATTACATGACTAGTATTGAAACCCTTGGTATCGAAGGGGCAAAATTAAACCTTATGTGTTAGATCTTGTGTTATATGGGCAATTTTGGATCATTCTTGTATGTGGATCTTGTACATTGGGTGATTTTAAATACGGATCTGTAGTACATCTAAATAAATGGGTCAAATCTAGCCGTAGAAATGAGTTTTAGAGGTTTAAAATCAGACATAGTGATAGGAATAGGAACAATATTAAAGATAGTAATAGGTCAATATTTTATTTTTTTGGAAGTTTGACAAGTAGGTGGTTTTTATCACACTTCAAGAGAGCCTAAAATCTCTCTTTCACAGGCACTTCCAAGTATAGTATGACTATTTTACATCAAAAGTCAACTTTTTTAGAATCCACTAGAGAGTGTATAAATTTTTGTATTGTTAAATTGTAAGTTCTGTCTTCTCCTTATTTTAAATTTTCATATTATTTATATAATTGTACTCAAGTTTGGAATTGTCCCATGTATATGTTAACAATGCAACCACTATTCATTGCATGGTTGCATCAGTTGTATTTCAATTTGATAATCACTCCTTTGATTGTAATAGTTTAATACCATCATCACAAGTAATATTTTTGGTTGTAATTTTATTAGACAAAGCTTTTGTATTGACTTGAAGCATAGTTATGTTGCCATCAACAAATTTGCAAATTATCATTTGAACACATGTTTTTACAAATTTATCAGATCATCAGAGCATATCATCAATTTCAGATCTATAAATGAAGTTTTAGATCCATAAATCAATTTTTGGTGAGTGCTTTACAAAGCAACATCTTTGATGTACTGCACTATATAATAAAAGCAAGTCTTACAAGCATTTTTAAAGATATTTTCTATCCCATGCACTAAAGATACATGCTACTTCTTCCATGAAATCCAACCCATGCTTCTCTGTAGACAAGGTTGATCCACATTACACTACAAAAGTTTATTTAAAAAATAATTACAATAATTACAATAGTGTAGGTAATATTATTATTATCAAAAAGTAAAATTTTCTATTATTAAAAAATATGTCAATTATCAATTGTTGAGCTATTGCATAATATAGACAAAGAGTAAATGAACATGATGAGTGATACATCCAAGCATATGAAGAACAAGAAAGAAGAAGATTAGATATCCTTGATGGATAAAGAAATAAATTAAACAATGTTGCATGTATATGCAATTGTTATGTAATTGGATAACTAAGTCAAAGAGCACATAAATGCGTTGAAAAATATAAAGAATAAAGTAAAAAAGATATAGAAGGGCATGATACTATGATTAATAGAAATGATAATGTTGGTATAGAAATTCATTAACCTATGAATCTATAAGAAAATACACAACAAAGATAAAGGGCATGAAAAGAAGCAATTTTACTTATTCAATAGGAAGAAGAAGTAATCCTACATGCATAAGGAGAAGAAGAAGCAAAAGAACATGATAAAGGAAGAAAAATTGATGAACAAGTAGACCAACTTTTTTATGAATATCATAATATAAGAGAAATTTTAGAAGGTTGTTATAATATTTGAAATATAGACATTTAACACCAACATTGTAAGACATTCCATTCAATGGATGAACAAATTAAACCATTGACAAAACTAAAACTAATATATGGTATATGTTATCTTTATAGAAAGATTGAGCTTTTGCTTCTTGAAGATCTCTTGTTTTTAATCAGACAACTATTTTATGAAAAAGATGAATAAAGCAAAGAATTTCAAAAGACTATTGGTAATATAATGAAGCACATGCATTTATATCTCTTGGTAAAAAAGTCAACAATACTATGTTACAAAGATATGGTGTCATAGACAAATATATTTATTTAGATAATAAATACTAGATAGAAAGTAAATGTAAGTAGATTTAATATTATCTTATGATAAAGTTTTTTAAAAGCCAAATAGATGTGTATTTGATTTTATACATGTTTATAGTAGATTCATAGATTAGAAACTTGACCAACAAGTTAGCCATGTATTACTCATATAGATAGTTCATAGTAAAAGCTAATGATGTGGCACATATATGGAAAATTTGCCTTACGAGTTAAGATACATATCTTGCAAAGTATTGGAGGTCCTATAGAATGTCATCATATAGGTCTTAGATAATATATATGGAGGCAAGAGTGAATCCTTCTTTAGTCTTGTCAATGCCTTTTTAGTCCTTGGTCTTATTTTAAGCCTTTTAAATCTTCTTGTTTTTAGCAATAGCCATTCTAATTTAATATTATACCATCTTTAAGTGATTCTTGAAGCTTTTCGAATGACATAAGAATGTATAGATCTTTTAGTTCTCTGAGATTTATGTCCTTGACATATGGTCTATATAGCTTTTGCATATTGAAAGAACTTCAATATTAAGTAGATATTCTTTTATTAAAACAAGGTACAAAGGCAAGTTATATGCAATTGTATATTTATAATCCCAACATTGCACATGAATTAAAGATAGCACATTGTTGTATAATACAAAGTTTGTTTGAAAATACATCAAGATTTTAGATATAGAAGATAAAATAGAAATTGCAACAACAAGGTGTTAACAACTCTAATAGAATCCTAAAAAAATTTCAAAAAAATATTAACAATATTAATCAAACTTTAATCAACTCTAAAAGAAAACTTAAAGAAATTACAAAAAATGTAAAAAATTATAAATTAACTTTAAAGATATATATATATATATATATATATATATATATATATATATATAATAAAAATAAAATTTTAAAGAATTAATAAAATAATTCTAAAATAATATCAAATATAATTTTTAAATAAATACTTAAAATAAAAAATTAAATAAATTTTAATAAAATTCTAATAAAATTATAAATTATAAATTATAAACAAAAACCTAATTGTATCTTAAATCTTAAATTTTAAATCCTAAAATTAATCCAAATTAAATCCTAAATTCTAAATCAAACCTTAGTAAAATCTTAATCAATTTTTAACCTTAAATAAATTCTTAATCAATTTTCATATTAATTATTTTTCTTAACTACTTTAATTTGCTTTATTTAAGGGCCTATTAAATAAATAGAAGTATTTTTTTACAAAAGGCAGCATTAGCACTTATTAATTTTACTACCTCCATATCTATTATCTTTATTTTCAAGATAATTTTCTAAAATATTTTTATTTAAGCTTACTTACAACATAATTCTTCTTTTTTCTTTTATATAATGGTTGTGTTACAATATAACAACTTAACCTCAATTTTTTAGCCCAAAAAATGTAAGAACTTCAAAATTGTTTGAGAAAATAATATGAACTTTTTTTCTTTGTCAAAAGCTTATTAAATATTTTCTAATGAATGAAAAAGAGGAGAAAGCAATGATAATATATAGAAATATCTTTGTTATACTAAAGATCCTTATAGAAGAGGTTATAATCTTCTAACTTCTAATGATGTTGTTGTTATTATCTCGAGCTATGAAACAATAGAAAAAATGATGAAAGATATAGTTATTTAATAGAAAGGAGGTTCATTGTAACAAATTCATAAAAAAACATCTTATATACTTGCTACTTTATTATGTTATTTTTTTCTATATAGAGAATGTGGCTAGCATAACCAAATAAAATATACAAATATGAATGTCAATTAAGGTGGAGGTGATAATATAGAGATTATATATATATATATATATATATATATATATATTTATATTTGCATCAATTTTTTCTACAATATAAAAAATATTCAATTATCTTATAATATAAAAAGTTGCTCCAAGAATATATTGTCAATGCTTGAATAGCAAGATAGCAAAATTGGTTGAAATACTTTAATATGAATAAAAATAGGTTATATCCAAATGTATATCAAAGACTAATTGATATTTTTGAAAATGTATAACACCAAGAAATTGACATGCATAATCTAAGGCAAAGGATAATTCTTTTGTTGCTTTATAATGAAAGTACAAAAAATATATTTCAAAATTTTTAACATTCTATCACCAATACTCAATATTTTTAATATTCAAATACTTTTGATACTATGACTAAAAATCATTGGTGGCCAAAGATCTTAACTTAACTCTTTTCAAGAAAAAGACTTGTGGATTGTTGCCTTTCTGTGCCATTTGTCCTAAGTTATAAGTTTTGTTGTATCTATGGAATATAGACTTTTGGTGCCAACATCCTTTTTGTTGCTTTGACTTTTTGTAAAGTCTCTCCTCTCCCAACCTCTTTTTTTTTTTCTTTTTTTTTGCTCTTGTTCCTCTAATTTTTTATAAAGTTTTTATTGCTTTGAGTTTTTGTTGTTGTAAGATATCATGTAACATTGCAATGACACTAGGTTTTTAATACCATTGGCATCATCTTCACTACCTCAATCAAATTTATATCATTGTTTCATTTAAAAGCCATGCACATGAATAAAAAGCATGGTGTTTAAAAGCAACAATTATATAACTATGGATGTAGACATTAAAGTGAATGCAAATATTTGCAGTGCATGATTAACAACGTGAAAGCAAATCCAAATTCAAACCCAAGAATTTGTGTTATTATGCATGACCCTAGGACTTCATCAGGTATTGTTGTTTTCAAGAAGGTGCAATTCACATTTAAATTACCAAATTGATAGTGAAATGGAGCCAATTCTCACATCCAATCAATGGTGTGTTGCAAATCATGTGTAGCATATTATATATGTTAGCACCCATATTGTATAAAGACCTTGCTATAACTACATACAAAATAATTATGTTTGTGTAACTACACACAAACATAACCATACACATGATTTCAATGCCTCTTATTGCTCCAGCCAATGGAATATTTTGACTCTACACATAGACACTTGAAGTTGATCTTTTTATATAAGTGGTATAAAAGTAGTATTTACTTCTGCAAAGGACTCTTTTTCACAATTCAATGTCTCCCTTATTATAATTATTATAAAAAATAAAAAATAAAAAAACATAGCAGCCAATCAGTATCCTTCACTATTCTAGCCAATGGGATTTTTTGACATGACATACAGATGCTCAAAGTCAATTTTTTTTATATGAATGGTGTTCATTGTCACATCTTCAAAGAGCTCTTTATTGTAACTTGATTTGCCTTTATTGCATTTGTCACATTTGTAAAGAATTCTTTATTGCAACTTAATTTGCTTTCATCACAATTGTCATTTTGGCAGCCAATCAAAAAATAAAAAAACAACAACACACACACACACACACACATATAATGTAGCTCGGCAGCCAATCAATGCCTCTCATTGCCATTAAAAATAAAAAACACACAATATATCTTAGCTGCCAATTAGTGCTCCTTACTGCAATTTAAAAAAACAAAACAAACAAACAGACATACACAGTATACGTCAACAGCCAATCGATGCCACCTATTGTTACAACCAATGGGATTTTTTGATGCTACATATAGATTTTCTATTTTCATATATATATATATATATATATAAATGCATATTGTTCACCTATCGTCACATCTACTGCAGAGAGCCACACAGAATAAAATCCATGATGATTTGATGTGACACCTGTTCAAAATATGCATATTTGAAAGGAAGACATGAGAAAAAATAAATATTGAAAATGATCTATTTACATCCATTATTTAGGTCCATATGGAATTGGAGAACTAGCTACAGTGAAGAATGTGAAGAATGTGAACGGCGCAACGTCGCCCAAGGCATGAGACAATTCGAGGGGTAGGTTATGAATTTGTGCAAAACAAACTCGGAAAATGAAATATAACTTCTACACCAATGGATACCAAGAAGCACTTCCCTAGCTGCTTTTGGAACCCACAAGACTGCACATTGCCGAACCACTAAACATCATTCTGAACCTACCGGTCAGCATGATCAGAGTTGATCAAGGGGATAGAATGAAGAATCTCCGAGCCTGGTCTGAAGCATGACCTGGAGAATACAACATCGGGCACTCTCAACTCGACTATCCTATTTTTTGTATTCATATATTATTGTAACCACTGTTTTCACTCGCTTTTGTCTACGACGAAAGTGGACGCCGTTCAAAACGGCGCGTGAAAGAACACGGCGTCAAGTACCTGAACACGGTGGATGAGCATCTCCGTACAATCAGTCATCTCACCCCAGCTGATAGATTCCATATGAAAGCTGTTATTTCAAGGGAATCGCTTCTCCCGCTTCCTGAATGAACCACCTCAATACGGTGTTTCATTTGCTGGGGTACTGCCTGCCTGCCCGTTTGGAAGCAATCCACCTTCGTCTCCTCTTGACCAGTACTCTCGCAGTAGCTCCAACTGACACTACCCAGTTTTCATAATATCCTCTTCTGACGTTCGTCTAGTTAAGCGTACCGAACTTTTCTGCAATTCCTTCCAAGTACTGTGTCCTTTAGCGTAGAGAGTCAGAGACTGCTTAGTTTGGGTGGATTGATGTGGCTGGTTTCCCTTGGGTTGCTACAAATATGGAATGAGAAGCAGTTAGAATGCAAATGGTTGTCTTGACTCTTGACAAGGTGTTTACGTTTCGTGGCGTTGTTGGTAATCGGTGGAACTAGTAACCTGAAGATGTTTGAGTCATGGGAGAGTTTTGTAGTGTTGAGAGCGTGTAATTCAAAGCAGTCACTGAGTCAAGTTGAAGGAGTTCTTCTGAAAAACTGTGTGACGTGTTGGAACAGGTGATCAGAGCTGGACCTGTAAGCTCCAGCAATGTCGAATTCGAGCGGCGCTAGGCACCATTGGCGAAGGTCCCTTCAAGTCTTGCATGCGACTTTGCGCTTCACAGTTGCGGGTGTGGACGCTCGTAGAGCCAGAGATAGAGCCATGAACGCAGCTTTTGCTTGGCGCCCGCAGGATGCCCACAATCGAATTTACCGACGCGACCATGTGTGGCCTGCCATTCCAGAGGATCCTGTCTTGGCCGGCTTGGAAAATGACATACAGGATCCACAGTTCCTTCAGATGCTCCCCCCTATCCCTGGCGCTAATCTCTTTGATAATGGTGAGGATCAAATGGCGAGAGATATGTGAGTGCAGGAGTCTTACTCACTCGGAGTCATGCTTTGCTGTTCTAATTGAACTCAACAGAAGCCCGAATTTTTGGTTTGAAGGATGCGGAGTTTGTAAGTCTCGTTTCGTGGCCGCATCGGTTGTGGAATGCAGCAACCCTCATCCAATCTGCATTTCGTGGAAGCACGAAAGCCAACCCTTCTCTCTCTCCCGCACACTCTCATAGTTTTGAGTGTTTTTTGATGTTGGAATCTTTTTTTCTGATGACAAGCTGTTCTCAGGAGCTACTGTAGAATTGTAAATAATCTCCAAGTCGTGGTAGCTCAGTGATTACTGCGACGGGAAGTATAATTTAAGAGCTAACGTAGTACCGATAGTCATTAGCCTCGCAAGTTTTTCCTTCGACACTCCTAGCCAAATCCTCATCTAGATAGTGGACAAGCAGATTTGACCCAGAGGATTCTAGCCTACTTATCCTCACGTGTTAGCTGATTCTCTGTACCTGCATAAGCTGGTCAGAATTGTACCTTTGCCTTCTGTGTGTGAAAGTATATGTGCTGGTTTTGATCCCAAAGAAATTCTAGGTACCAAAAGTGGCACAACTTGCGTATTCCAGCTACCTTGGGCTCAAGTGGCACAAAAGAATTTGTGACTTAATTGCACATTCCATGCAAGACACAACATCCACACGTATAATTTAGCTCAATGACACCTGCAACTCAGCTTCTGAAGTCAACTTGACAATACCCTCATGGGCACTCGAAAAAAGCGGCAATGGTATTCTCGTGGCTCCTATTCGTACTATCTCTGACATGAACAATCCAAAACCACCCACAACCGGGATTTGGTCAAGTTGTGCTTCCAGCTGTTGCCGCAAGGAAACAAAAGTTACCCCCCAGAAGCCATCAATGAGCCGCTAAAACACCAGGGGATAATTTTGATATTGACATGTAAATAAAAACGTATAGAAAAAATCGGTATGTTTATTGATGGTGGTAGTGACTCCGCTGTCAGTCCGTTGTGCATATTGAAAGTGGCTTTCATTGCCTGGATTCTAGCAGGTGAGGCAACAGAAACAAGCGGTGCTACAGATATCAACCAGTGATGTATATATAGAGAAATAGAGAGAGATCGGTAGCAGCAGCAGCATTGCTCGAAACAAGTTGCTTGTGAACGTAGAAGGATTAATCACCAGAGCAGCCCAGGCTATCGTCCACCGGAACTACATAATACCCAGACAACCATCACTACCACCCTGATCGATACTTTCCATTACTAAACACTTGAAAGGGATTCTCTAGCCTGTTCTCGTCCACCACCATGTTCCGGAATTACCCTATACTGTGGCAGATTGTACCCAAGTTGCAAAATTACCACCACTCATGGAACCTTGCAAAGGGTTACCCAACTGAGGCAGAAGGGATAAAATAAAAACAAAAACAAAAATAAAAAAGTCATTTACCTTGACTAAGTTGCAACGCGGAGGAATAACCAGCCTGCGCTTCTTTTTTTATATCAAATTCATTACTATTCATTCGAATCTAACTGCCACTGAAGATCCCCGCGATTCGGCATCCCCTACTCACTTCCATCGACTGATTCCTCACCACAATCCTTCCCAATTAGAAAGATTGGCATGGTGGTGACAAAACCCGCTACACACGACATGCAGCGTAAAAGGAACGATTTGAAGCGCGCTCCCAACTGGGACAGCCAAGCTCCGCAAAGGGGTAACAAGGAAAAGACCATTGTCCGTGCACCAGGAATCCCGCCTAGGCGGTAGAGAGATGTTAATATATAAAAGTGAGGTTGAGCTGGGCTGGGGCGGTGCCGCGCGACGATTCGATCATGCACGCCACAAGCTACAACGTCACCGATCCAAAGCGTGGCATCCACTGCGGGCCACAAAAAAGGCTATCTAATTCAGCCAGCGTTGTAGATTCTCGTGGTAAGTGATTTGCTGACCTGGCCCCATCATGCTGACCTGGCCATGGGAGGATGACGTGGCTTGGTGGCGTGGCTTGCAAAGTGACGTCGAATCCTACATCATGGGAGGATGACGTGGCTTGGTGGCGTGGCTTGCAAAGTGACGTCGAATCCTACATCATGGGCTTCACGGGGACGCTTTTGTGACAATATTTTCATGCCGTTTCTATTTGTGGAAGCCTATTACAGGAGACTTTAGTAGCTTGTCTGTTTTTTTGGTCGGGGGGGGGGGGTATGATTGTGTTGATGGGGCTCTCCAATTGATGCTTTCACATTCAGTGGACAAAGATTGCTTCCTCTGTGCTTGGGATTGTGATGATCAGATAATATTTTAAAATCTGGTACCTGTGTGATGGCTTCTTTTTTATCTTTTTATGGAACATGAAGGGGCAGCCTCTTCCTAATTTGATAATTGGTGGTAACTGGTGCAAGGCAAGAGGTTTTGCTTCATGAATGGACAAGGAGATGCTGACCTTTTAAGAAGGCGAATAGTTCCATCTGATTGACATTCTTGCACTTTGATTCTTAATTTATCCTCTCCAGTCCAGGTACCTGTAATTTTTTTGAGATTTTTATTTTCAGTTTTTAGTTTTATTTTTTATTTTTTTCAACAAGCTTTCCATAAATAGTGATGACAAACCATTTTTTTTTTTTCTTTCCTCTTCCACTTTCTTCTAAACTCAATCTCTTGTCTTTAGATCTTAGTGTTGGGTTGTTCACATGTTGTCAAAAACCATTCTCCTGCAATACTTGACCATGTGATCTTCTTTGAAATTGTTTCCAAATCTGTGAAGGCTTCCTGAACTTAAATTTCAAAACTCCAATTTACTGGGTTGTGGAGAGCTTTCTACTACACACATCCCAATTAAGAGACAAGAAATCCCAGGTTTATGATTTGAGCTCCACTGTGGCAATGAAGTCTCTCTGCATGCACTGGGCTACATGAAGATGGGTTCTAAAATAGAAAACTTTGGATGAAGGGATGTTGTTGAAATGGACCTTTTCCTTGAAACTGAAACATGGTTGGGTTATATTTGAGGATAAATTGGGAATATAACTTTTTTTAAAAATAGAAATTTCAATATCTACCATTTAATTGAAGCTGTTTGTGGTTATTTTAGGGGTTGGTGATGATGAATCTATCAAAATTCTTTGTGAAAATGAATGGTAACCTATCCTATTACAGCTCATGTTGTGATTCTCTTCTCATCTAAAAACACATTTATGTATTAAAATTTGATTTTTCTAAAGGGTTTTCACATATCTTGTCTATGATACTATGAAGTAGACCAAGCAAGCAAGGAATACATAATTGGCTGTGATTAGTTTGCAAAGAAAATAGAAGGAGATTGTGTACTATAAACGGAATTTTTATTTTTAAGCAAAAACTTGGTTCATGAAAAAATCATCAATTATAAAGCAATAGATATTATCCAAACAGTGTGTCTAAAAATCTGATGAGTTCACTTGATTCCAACCAATGTTAAGTATGTTTCACAGTCTGAGTAGGCCATTACCTTAAGCCCCTTCACCACCTCATGTATTTAACCAAGTTGATAATCAGCCTCTATTCTTAACAAAAATAAAAATAAATAAAAATAAAAAAATCATAATGTAGATGATGGTAGTAAACTTAAATTATAAGTTTAAGTTTACTAATTATAGTTTCATCAAATTGTGAATGGCTCATGGCAAAATACAGATTTCGAATATACCATTCTAGATAAAAGTATCTTCCAGGTCTTTAATTTTGTCAAAAGCAGCTTGGCATGTCATCTTATATGCATCTATTTGAGCCCTGTGGATACAAAAGAATGACATAGTTTTCAGGACAAAACTATTTGGGCTTGAAAGAGGCATGCACAGCTTAATTTAACTTATTTTTTCAGAATATATTACAATAGATGAGTATTCAAAAATATATATTTAATATTCTTCCTCCTTTCACCAAAAATCACTTGAAACAAATCAGACAAAGAAAACAAAATCAAACCTTTACCAGATAACACCACCTTCTGAGCTGGCCAGCTGGAAGAATTGGTAAAATCAGGCACATGGTTCAAACTTAGGGATTGGAGGGAACTCAGAGATGTGCCATGAAATCAGCAAGCCAAGTTAACCCAAAGTATAAAACTTTTATAAGGAGAGATCCACATGGAAGCCCAAGTGCAAAGAAAAAAACAAAAAAGAAAAACAACAACTTCCTATCAAACTAACTAACAAAACAGTACAAACAAACAGAAACTCAGCACACCGACAACTGGAATCAAATGGACCTTGATGTAGGTGTATGAATATGACTGTTTACTACACTTCACTTTATGGCTGTTTGGTTGATCAAATTTTGGATAACACCATTTGGTATCGGGCAATAAGTCAACATAGAAGTTTATTAAAATATAGTACAATTTTTTTATTTTATTTTATTTTTGCCTTCTTTATTTGATTAAGAATTGAGTTTCAACTTTTGTAAGGCCCAATTTCTTGTCAAGCAAATAACTCCTTGGGACCAAAACTATCAAAAAGTGTTGCCTTGTTGACACTTATGATGAAAACATCTACCAATTGTTTTGTCTCAAGTGTAAAGGTCAAACATTCAATTTTTCTTTTCCCTCTCTCTGTCAATCATGCTGCTATGGATTTTTGATTGAGTGGTGATTGATTGTAGTGTGAAGTGGCCCTATACATTAACATGCACAGTTGCCATTTGTCCAACCATGGTCTTAGAAATCCATGACTTATCCCATCTTGACTCCCAACTAGTGAAGTCATCACTCAGTGACTTGGCATTGCACATCCCACTCTGCGCTCTATCTCTCACCACGATTAGATGTAAAGCCCCCAAAATCTGCAGCATATCCTTTGCCCCACAGCATTCTTCCTGCAAAGCACACATTCCCTCACACTACTGTTGGATTAGCACCTCTTTTATAACATTCAGAATATGGGAATAGAATGGTCAAGTCCACACTGCCTGCCCATTCCCAGACATGCACCAACCAATGCAAACTTACAAAAAAAACAAAAAACAAAAACCCTATCTGTGCAGTTGTTGCATGTATTGTCAGCAGAATGAAGTCTTCTCAAAGAAATGAAAAAAAATTGATGTTAAATTGTGGCATTGATTCCCACAAAGGATTTGTTCTTTTGGTTTTTTGTTTCCTTCAGCTAACTAATAGCATTGTGAATTCTTCATAGACTTCATCAAAGAAGGCAGAGGGGAGCTTGGTGATGGGGGTGTTTTTTGACACAATAGCAAACACACATGTGCACACAAATTTATGAGTGTTTTCAGTAAATACCCTATTTTCAGTGAGTTCCCTAATTTCAGTAAGTTTCAAGCAAGTTGTTTGATTATTTATTGTTGGCACAATCCACACCTAAGTTGGAGCAAGTGGGTGCAAAAGAATAAACATAATTTGAAAATCAATTCAGTTCAAGCCAAAAATGGTATCACATCCTAACATATTATGCATAGAAGCATGTGTGTGTGTGTATATATATATATATATATATATAGATACGGAATCTTGTCATGAATCTGTCTTGAGAATGAAATGGAATCTTCATGCCTCCTCAGATTTATTAATGTTGATGCTAATTTTATCCAAGAAAATTAGAGGTGTAGAAAAT